GAGATATGAGTTGTAAGAATTTGTGAACAAAGTAAGAATAAGTATGGTGAAATGAGACATCCTTGGCGAATACCACGTTTTAAGTTAAATCTAGGGGTGGAGCCATTTGGCATTTAAACAGAACTGTTGCTATTGGAGTACAAGGTTTCGACAGCTTTACAATTTTTTTTTCCAAAACCAAATTTTTTCAAAGAATGAAAAATGAATTGATGTTCAATTGTGTCAAAGGACTTATAAAAATCCATGAAGAGAATATAACTATGATCAGGTACCAAATATGAGTAATCAAGTAGGTCTAACACTAGTCTGATATTGTTAGAGATGTGTCTGTTTCTCATAAAGCCTGACTGTGTCTCATCAATAACTGTATCCAAGACCTCTTTAATTCTGTTAGCAAGTATTAAAGCCATAATCTTATAATCATTATTGCGTAGACATATAGGTCTCCAATTATCAATAAAAATAATTCTTTGTTTTGGTTTTGGAATGAGTGTCATAAGACCTTGAGGGAGAGTGTTATTCTTTATACTTTCTAGGAATACCTGTAAGAGAAATGGAGCTATATGATTAGAGAATGATTGATAAAACTCTGCAGATAAACCGTCTGTGCCGGGAGATTTATTAGCCTTAAGTGCAGTAATGCATTTAGAGATTTCCTCCACTGTAAAAGGGCTGTCACAATAGTCTCTATCATCCACATCGATAGTTTTTAAGTTTTGAATATTGTTAAGAAATGTTATTGAAATTTCTTCCTTATATTTTGAGCTGTATAAATTAGCATAAAATTTGGCACAAAAGGTTGAAATATGTTTAGGATTGTTGGAGATAGTGTCATTAATGTTTAGTTGATATATAAAGTTTGTTTTTGATCTGTGTTTTTCAAGCCTGAAAAAGTAAGCAGAATCTTGCTCTCCCTCCTCTAGCCATCGTTTCCTGGATCTAATAAAGACTCTTTCAGCCTTTTGTTGATATAAGTTGTCCAGTTTTTTTTGAAGTTCTATTAAATTTAACTTATCTTCCTCCAAGATTTCTTCTGGTGATTTCTTGTAATAAGAGGTCATTTTACTTATTACTTCTTCCTCTTCAGCTTTCCTCAGTTTAGGGATTCGACTCCCATATTGTCTTAAGAATTTGCAAGTTTCAAATTTGAAAAGTTCCCAATTGCCGCAAAAGGACCTCTCTTTGTTAGCCTTATTCCAATAATATAAAATGTATTTATTTATATGAACTTTAACCATTTCATGCTTTAGCAAGGAATTATTTAATTTCCAATAAGAACATTTGTAAGGTATATTATCAGGAGCACAAATTTTGATACTTATGTGAATAGCTCTATGATCTGTAAGAGGGGTGGCATGTATATTAACAATAATGCTGTCTTTGTTAATATAGTTAGATACAAGCCAGAAATCAATACGAGATTGTCTGGATCCCTTTTTATTACTCCAGGTAAAGCTTTTGTCATCTGGAAATTTTTCTCTCCAAACATCCATAACATTAAATTTCTCCATAAAATGTTTTAAGTTTGCACTGTATGAGGTCTGCTGCCTTGGAGGCCATCTATCGATCGTATTAGCTAATGCAATGTTAAAGTCCCCGCCAATTAAAAGAATTGAGTCTGGGTATTTGGAAAGCCAGAATGTAATTCTTTCTTCTAGAGAGTCAAATAGTTTGTCGTTTTCAGTTTTATTATTGTAACCATATATATTAACTGCAATAAATGTATTGTTATGGTGTCAATTACTGAGCAGATGTAGTGTCCTAGGGTGTCGCAGTCAGAGTGTAGTATAGTTCCAGAGAAATTATTTTTAAATGTAGCAACACCAGCGGAGCGCTCAGATCCATGAGATAACCAGGCTTCATTTCCCCATTGTGATTTCCAGAAATTACTGTCAGCAGATGTGGAATGACTTTCTTGAAAAAAACAAAAATCGGTTTTAAGTTGTTTGGCAAATAAAAATAACATTTTCCACTTACAAGCTTCTCTTAACCCCTGTGTTAAGAGAAACGAATGAAAAAGACAAAGTTACTAGAAAAGATTAACAAAAGGAACAAGTTATAAACTTTTAAAGCTAAGAGTGTATTCACAAGAAAAGGGGACCGAGTCCTGCACGGTTTGAGTAATAAAGCGGTAAATAACTTGACTAAATAAGTCTACCAAAAATATAGCACTACCGGTAAATATCTATTTTGATTTAACAGTAGTAATTTAGAAACTTCTAAATAAAACAAGGTAAGTTTTTTGTACAAAATAATACAATAATCGAGGGTAAATATATATTATTAAAAGGAAACTAAACGCGTAGTCGTAATATAGACCAGGTTCATTCTGTAAATGAATTCACAAAAAGGTCATTTTTAAGGTTTAGGTGAGTGTCTATGAAGGAGGGAAGACTTCTGCTCCGCTGACAAATCCACGACCTCCAACGAAATAAGCTGTCTTACCCTCACTGCGAGCTTTGTTTATTATGGGCCACAGTTTTTTACGACATTCTCTGTCCTCCTTGGACAGGTCCTCAGCAAATCTCAGATGGTTGTCCTTCAGGTAAGATGATGTTTTGGCTGCTTTCCATGTAGCATCTCTGAGGACTCTGGAGGTGAACTGAATGATGATCCCTCTGGGTTTGGTGCTTCCTTGTCGCTTGGCTCCAAGTCGGTGCACGGTATTGATGGCGTCAGGTAGCTTGTGTTTTTGTTCTGGCAGAACTGATTGGCATATTTCTATCACTTTTCTTCGTATGTCTTCTTTCTCGGTCTCCTCGGCTCCATGTAGTCTTGAGATTCCACCTCCTGGAATATCTTTCCAACTCTGTTATTCTCTGCTGGCAGTTGCCCACCCGACCTTCCTCTCGTTACTTTTTTTTTCTAGCTCATGCACTTTCCTTTAACATCCTTCATTTCAGAGCATACCAAGTCAATAGTCTTTTTGAGGCCCTCAATCTTGAGTGTATTCTCCTTCACCATGCCCTCGAGGTTATTAGATCTGGTGTTTATTAATGCAGACAGACTGGATATTATTTCGTTTGCAGTTGACGTATCAAGGTTGCTACGTTTATACATCACCTTCTTCGGAGCTGGCGATTTCAGAGGTGTACCAGGTAGAGGTGGAAATTCATCCATTTCCTCTTCATTCAATGAGTGATATTTCAGTGGCAGCGTAGTTGTGGCAGCTATCAAATAACATGTTGCCGGATGTAGCATTAGCTTCATTAACATCCTCTGATGTTAGCTTGGATTTGGACTTTTCTAGTCCTCTTTTCGCTCTCTTCTGGTTCGGCATTCTGCTGTAACTTTCTCTGAGATTGTCGTCTGTTATCTTTTAAAGAACTGTTAGTGCCAGTGATCATATAATCAAAATTGTACCGTGTTTCATCAGTTTTTTGTGCAGAGCTCGGCAGAGAGCGTCTACTCACTCCGCCATCTTGGTCATCCCCACCAAAGCCTCTTGTTCAGGATTTCAAATTCCCTACCATAACTCCACCCACTCTGTTATTGTTAGAGTTATTGTTCTTCATTTTGAAGGTTGAATGAGTGGTCATGAGTCAGAAAGAGAAGCATCATGAAGACTTGTGATGATCATGCAGTCTGAACATGTTGAAAGCGAGCTATATTCTGTGAAACGTCACCCAGTGGCTGATTCTTGTACTTCATCAAGAAAGCTACACATTACGTCAGAGCTGACTGACCACAGACCCTGACAATGACCAATGGATGCCTGTGGCTTAATAACCGGAGCGTCTTATTTATGTACAAAATTATGATTTGTATTATATTTAGTATGTGCAGCTTAGAGGCAGATGAGTTCTGTAGCCTGAGAATTACGGTATGTTAGACTGGTACAGGACATGAAGACAGCAGGACAGTGGTGAGATGTGCTGCAGAAGTTACAGATAACTTCAAGGTGAAGGTGGGAGTGCATCAAGGATCGGCTCTGAGCCCCTTCTTGTTTGCTCTGATGATGGACCGACTAACAGATGAGGTCAGGCAGATGGCATTGTGATCTGTGGTGAGAACAGGAAATAGGTGGAAGAGAATTTGGAGGTGGAGGTATGAACTTGAAAGAAGAGGAATGAAAGTCAGCCGTAGTAAGACAGAGTCCATGTGTGTGAATGAGAGGGAGGAGGTGGAACAGTGAGGCTACAAGGAGCAGAGGTCACAAAGGTGCAGGACTTCAAGGACTTGGGGTCCACTGTCCAGGAACATGGGGAGTGTGGTGAAGAGGAGAAGGAGAGAGTCCAGGCAGGATGGAGTGGATGGAGAAAAGTTCAGGAGTGATTTGTGACAAAAGGGTGTCAGCAAAAGTCAAAGGAAAAGTTTACAAGAGAGTGGTGAGACCAGCTATACTGTATGGTCTGGAGACAGAGACATTGACCAAAAAACAAAACAACAAAAAAAAAAAAACAGGAGAAAGATCTGGATGTGGCAGAAATGAATATGTTGAGGTTTCTCCTTAGGAGTGACATGGATGGATAAGAATAGATGGTAAATGGACTGCACTTATATAGCGCCTTTCTATCTTATTTCAAGATAGGAATGAGATCATCAGAGGTGCAGCACAGATTGAACAACTGGGGGACAAAGTTAGAGAGGCCAGACTGAGATGGTTTGGACATGTCCAGAGGAGGGACAGTGGGTATATTGGTATAAGGATGTTAGAAATGCAGCTGCCAGGAAGAAAAAAAACAAAGAAGAAAAAGGCCAAAGAGGAGATAATATGGATTCAGTTAGAGAGGACATGAAGGTAGCTGAAGTGAGGACAGAGTGAGGTGGAGGAGGATGACTCGCTGTTGAGACCCCTGAAGAAGAAGCCGAAAGAAAAAGAAGAAGGAAGAGTTTACTTTTATTTCAACAATTTTCTCTGTTTTTCATCTATTAGTTGCCAAAGATTGCAACCCAGTGGACAATTGTTTATGATTTCTGACAATAAAAACTGACAAAAAAAAAATCCAAACTTTTGTGTCCTTTGTCGGGGGTAGATGCTTGGATTTAAAGGGCCGTACCTGGGAGCCGTAGAAGCCCGTCAGTAGTCTCTTGTGTGTGGTGCTGCTGTTGTCCAACTCTCCGATCTCAGCCAGCCCATGTAGGTGGGCATTCACAGTGGCATCTGCTGCCTTACTAAGGCCTGCTACTATTATTTCGTAGTGCAGGTGGCATTGTTTGTCTATTGACACCCAGGCATGTCCAGAAGCTCCAGTTCTTACAGGTGGGGACACAAAGTGGCCAGCCAGAAGTGTAGGTAACTCTAAAAAAAAAAAATTAGGTTTTTAGCACACTTCCAAAGATGTTCAGAGTATTTTCAAACTTCACTGGGTCATACCATTTCTGGGCACCTCTAGGCCACTGTATGGCAGGGCCTTGATCTGACCCCTGAGCTCTCCCTCTTGGTAGTGAGCTGTGGCCACGTTGATGAAGAGCTCATTCTGCAGCAGCATGTGGATGTGTCGAGCCTCCAGACGACTCCAGCTGCTCACCGCCCGTCTCAAGGCTTTGTTGTACTCTGGTGTTAGATCATAAAGGATTGAGCGCTTGTTTCGACGTCGTGGCTTCAGCTCTATCGTTAGGCCAACTACGTCACTGCTGAGGCCTGCAACCTGAATCTATCGACAGAGGACGAGAAAGAGAAATATTTACAACCCTCTAATCTACCTGAGTATAGACAGCTGTTACAGTACAATAAGGGATGTGAAAAAAGACGTTTGTGCTATTATGTCATGAATATTTACTACATTACAATAGCGTCCTTCATTTTGCAGGACTTTTTTCTTTTTCTTCTTATTTTAAAAAATTACAAATTGAAAATGTTGTGCATCAGCCAAATTTAAAATTAGCTTGATTTGACACCAAATAACATGAAAGACATACATGATAAACCTATTTCTTGAAATGGTTATCCTTTATGCGCACCTGGTATTCCAATGTTCCGTTATCATGGAGGTTAAAGACAGCAGATCCCACACCTCCTGTCTTCCCTGGGGTCAACGCATCACCACTGGACATCACACTCTGAACAGCTGAGCCGGACAGAAACAGAAAATCAGCTCACTTTTCACTTGACCCGTTACACTTTCCTATGCAAACATCCAGAACATAGTCTGGCTGCATGGAAGCTGTAGTAAGACTTCAGTCACAATAAATATTTTCCTTCCCTTTGTGTTCTGCAGCCACACTCCCACAATAAAGTCACATATCTATTATCCATTAAAAGGGTTTACAGCTGTCCCTTAAAATAAGGATTTTGAAACTATAAAGATGTTTCTTGTTAAATTGATAAGCACAGTGTTACTTTTTTTTGGAGCCAGATGTTCTATATCAGTCTAAAAATAATTTATCACTTATTACTCAGAAGTCACATACTGTGTGACTTGTAATTAATGAGAAATAATACTTTTTGCATTGCGGGGATATACATAAATGATTGCTAACAAAATAAATAAATTTATGCATGCATGTATACATACATAAATACATACATACATACATACATACATTAATTCATACATACATACTAGGGGTTGAACGAGTATATAATTTTTAAACTTGACATTAACATAATAAAACCCGAGTAGAACTCGAGTATTTGATGATGTCATAGATCTCAAGATACAAAAATAAATAAATAAATAAAACCGCAAAAAAAGGTAATTATTTACAAAAAAAAAAGACCAACAAAACATTGGGAGCATATATTATGTTCCTACCATTTATCATACTGCAAATAAGTCACAGGAAAAACTAAACTATTAGTTATTATTATTAAACTGCAAACGTGAAGAAACGCAGCACGTCAAAAACAAAACTTAAACCAAAACTGGTTCTAGTTCGGTGGATTGGACCCGGTGTTGCACCATACTCTGTGACCTGCAACAGTGCAACACCGCCCCCTACGGTCATAAGTGGTCACATAATACGACGTCACTACGGATACCCGACTTTACTTTTTTAACATCGATAGATGTCCTAGCAATCGATGTGTAGATTACTCGAGTACTCTGTTAATGCCCTAATACATACATACATACATACATACATACATACATACATAAATTCATAAATACATACACACATATTTAAATACATTAATTCATGCATACATTAATTCATGCATACATTAATTCATACATACATACATACATAAATACATACATACATAAATGCATACATTAATTCATACATACATACATACATACATACATACATACATACATACATACATACATACATACATACATTAATTCATACATACATACATACATACATACATACATAAATACATACATTAATTCATACATACATACATAAATACATACATTAATTCATACATACATACATATTTAAATACATTAATTCATACATACATAAATACATACATTAATACATACATACATACATACATACACACATATGTAGTAGTCAAGGTGGGGGACAGCTTAACTGTCGCTTCACTACTAAAAATTTAAATATAACAACGGGTTCTTTCTTTTTCGAGTTAAATTAATGCCATGTGACCGAGATAACTGTGAGTATTGTTCAATCAGTGACATGAGACGCCATTTTTTCTTTGACCCATCAGAATAAATGCGGTCATTTATTTAACAGAATCAAAATTTAACATCAAAACATGTACACATTGATTTGCTGATCTGGTTCTGATTAATAAAAACTTGGCGCTCTTTACTAACAAGACAACAGAACATTTTTGAAGGCATCTAGATTACTGGCAAAATAGAAGAGTTTAAAGGAAGGAATGGAGAAGTTTAAAGGGAGATGGATGAAGGAAGGTGTATGTTGTTGACCAGAATTAGCACGCTTCTTTCAACACCAGCTCAAACCTCTGGTACACTTAGCGCGTGACGACTTGTTACCTTCGCAGAAGATGAATCAGCTCCGGTACCGGGTCCATTTCAACGCTACTTTTTCAGCGTTTCCGGTTAGAGCGGCTGGTCATTGCCATAAGTCGTGTCGATTTACTCCGTTCAACAAACAGGACCAGCTCCCTTCGAGGTTGTAGGCGTTACACCCGGGTGGGTTCACAACAAGGCGCTGTGACTCCGTCAGAGTTCCCACTCAGAAGTGGAAGACTCCAGAAGGCTCGAGAAGGCTCCATCAAAGACTGAGTCCGACTGGCCCAAGACTCCAGTCCAAGACTCGAGAAGACTCAGAAGACTGAAGAGTTCCAGGAAGTGTCGACTTTTAAAAGAGTCCTCACTTCCGGTCACTTAGTACTTCCTGATTGGTTGAAACAACCAACAGGGGGTGGTTCTAGTGATGTCAGAGGGTTATTAAAAGTCAAGAGAGGGGTCAGGAATGTTTACTGTAGGAACGTTTAGTACAGACAGAGAAATGTTTTGAAGAAGTGAGGAACGCAGATGCCAGTGGCAGTTGTTTACCGTTTGCTAGGTTTAAAAACAATACAGTTCATTCTAATAACTTCTTTTCTGACTGTCTCTGACTTTTGACCGACATCACTGACCTCATTCAGACAGATAATCAAAATGCATAATTACTTTGTAAATAGACATTTAACTTGATTTCTAAGTCTAATGAGGTTTAAAAAATCATTAATACTGTTTCACAGTTGATTTAAATGAGTGGTTTACTTTCAACATTAGAAATTATATGAACTAAACACACATTTGATTATCAAGATATTGTAAAATAGTAATAATAACATAAAAAGAAGAGTGTTCTTTCAATTGATTAATTCAGGATACAATTAGACAGCCTCTGGATGAGCTAATTTGTATTTCTGGATTCAAATCAATGAAATAACAGTTCCTGTCCCATGAAGGTCTTCAGAGACAGGTT